AATGCGCGAAACCCAATGCGCGTTTGAAAAGGGTCGACAGATTTCGCGGGTTGTGATTGGCCAATGGGTTGCAAAGTCTTGGAGGCGCACTATTGTAACACGCCCGTATTCCTTGACCAACTGACCAATTTTCCTTGACCAATTTTCTACCAGTCGATGTCACTTCTGGACTAGCCGTCTGTCTTCTCTTTCTATTTTCCCGTTCACACAAGAAAGAACTACTTACAACTGGGTCCTGCACTTATAACAGAACTATGTCTATGGGTAGATGGTACCGGCTGCTAAATACCACGCAGGTTTTAGATGAAAAACAACTTGATTCAATAACAGAGCTTGGACAGATGAAATGAAGGCCAGAGTGCCCAAGGTAACGCTTTCATTAAGTGCCCTAGAAAAGAAAGAGGAGAAAATTTTCTTCACAAAATGGAAAACCAGCTAGAGGCAGTAGGCCCACTGTGTACGTGATTATATAAGGTGTTTTTATGTCTGAACATAATTTTGAATTAAAACTCACCAAGGGATGATTTTTTTATTGAAACATGGAACAATTAAGGTATACCAAAGAGCCCCTAGTGATATTTTTTTTCATGAATTGTTTTTCAGTTGAAAATCTTGTCCCACTGGCATGCTAGTGTGTTATCATCGCCGGGTTATTAAAAAAAGAATTGTTTTCAGTAATGGGGTTTGGGTGCAACATTATACTCATGTATTCGTTTTAAATCTCAACATTCTAACAGGCTGAGCTGAAATGCCCTGTTCACTCCTGACAAAGCGCTTGATGGCATCGGACTCACATTAATTTAAAAGCCCGTGTACACCACGATTCAGAAACCTGCCGTCTCCTCCACAAAAAAAGGCGGAAGCGAAGTTGATGAACACCTTGGTTGCCGGGTCCAAAGCTCCCGGCAACCCAAATGTTCCGAGAAAAAAACACCTGCGTAATTAACTGGAGTTTGTGTTTCTCCCGGGTAACACCGTGTTCTGTAAGCAAGTTTGAAGCTTGAAATGTCCACGTCGAGCCGCTCCCGAAACGTAAAGGAAAACATCGGCGTGTTTTTTTTTCTGTGTTGGTAAAAGGCTTGCGTCTGAGCAAAAATGGCGGGAAACGTGCCAAACAGGGGCTGAGGGTTTAATTATGGAATTCAGGAAGCCGCTGCGCACAATTAACTCCTGGAAAAGGCTATTGAACATTTTTCAAGCGAGTGTTCGACGTGAAATGCCAGCAACTTTTTTTTTCAATTTGAGAACAAAGTCTACACAGGATTACTAGAGCTGATGATAAATTAAACTCTAGTCATGCGTTGCACAGCCCTTCAAATTACTCGAATATTCGACACAGGGTCGATTTCAAGAACAAACTAGCAAAATACTGCTACAGTTAAAATACATGGAAAACGGTCCAATTGAACAGAAACCAATATGAAGTATGTACAAAGTATTCCTGTACAAGATACCCTGTTGGCTTACAGGCATTGTAAATCATTAACTTAATATCCTCCATTCATAGTTCTGGCTTGCAAAGTTGGATTTAAGATGAGCAAGTGTGTGTGGTTGTCGATGAAATCTTTTTGGCCTCCCTGACAGGGTTTCGAGATAGTGAAGAAGGGAGAATCCGCTAACGTTAATAGAGTCGCGCGGGAAATAAATCGCTTCTCTATCCGATACGAGGGTCAGGTCATTGCTAAGCCTGCCCGAGGGTGGTTGAAAGGATTTTGTTTTCCTTAGATCATGTGATTCGTATGTTGTCAAGGCTCCTCGATATCAGATGCAATCGGATCATTGCTCAATGTAAAAGACTTCGATACGATTGTACCACGAGCTAAAAGATCACGGTAAGATGGTATAGTGATACGTTATTGCTGCGTGTGACGATGTAACGTGCGCAGTACACATTTCCAATTAAATACACTGTACTGTATGGCTCAAACAGTGCACTCCACCAGTTCTTTCAGGTGGGAACAGCATAAAATCCTTCCCGATCGAGCTGCGGTTGTACCGCGACTTTTATAAAGCATAAAGCATCTTGTAGCTTTTCTCCAAAAGTAGGCCTACGTGATCGCTTTGGGACTCTCCTCGACCAAATAGTTCTTAACCTGCGTTAGGAAGGGAAAGGAAGGCTTTCCGCACCACTGGCTCCTGGAAAAGGCTCTTGAAAAACACTCCCAGTGAGTGTTCGACGTGTAATACCAGCAACTTCTTTCAACTGCAGAACAAAAACCTGTATTTCGGTTTATTAGTATTGAGCAGACGGATAGGTTAATTTTCTGTCGTGCGTTTCACGACCCGTCATTACTCGAATATTTGACACAGGATCGAAGACATGATAATTAGTAGGCCTGTATCAAGAACAAACCGGCAAATATTGCTACACTTCAAATACGTGGAGAATATGGTCCTATAATGTAGCACAGAAACCTACAAAGTATTCCTACAAAATACCCTGCCGGCTTACAGGCACTGTAAATCCATAAAATTAATATCATTCATTAATAGTTCTGGCATACAAATTTGGATGAAAGCTGATCAAGCATATGTTGTCGGTAAAATCTTTTTGGCCTCCCTGATAGGGCTTCGAGATAGTGGGGAAGGAAAAACCTGCTAACGTTATCCGGTATGACGGGCATGTCCTTGCCAAGCCTGCCTTTGGGCGATAGAAAAAGACGTCGTTATAATAAGATGATGTGATTTGTGTGTTTTCAAGGCTCGTCAGTCCTCGTGAAATATCTCTTGAGAACTCGCTCCAGAACGCTATTTAAAAGCACGCCTTTTCATATCTTGCATTGCCCATTTGTAATGGGGGCTATCGTGGCAGTGTAATCTGCCATGTTAGACGCACATCATCACCTTATCCACCTTATGCCTAATAACTTCGTAAACAAAAACTTTCCTTAAAAAATATCTTGTAGCTTTTCTCCAAAAGTACAGGTTGGCTGGTGACCTCTCCTAGAGCAAACAGTCCGTAGTCTACGTACGAAACAGTTTGGACCCATTGCAATGATGAAGGGCCAGCACGTCAGAGAGCCTTATGGCGGAATCAAGTCCCCTCTCAAAAAAGTGTGTGGGGGAGGGGGGCTTTTGCCGTCCCCACTGATCGACGCCATTGTTTTCTCGGCTGTACATTCCAACTAACTATAAATATGCCCCAAATGTTCACATTGGGGAATGGTGTAATCTTTGTCGCGTTTAGATAGACTGTGACCCTTTTCAGTTTGTCCATTTATTTAAAACGAGGAGTTCAAAATTCACTTGCTGCTACATGTAGCTGTGCACATGTCCATTTTCTGCTGTTTATGCGGATGGATACAAATGTATTTGGCTACCGTTTACCGCAATTAATCACAGCGGCATCAAAGCCTCAAACTGCAATATTACGATTAAAGATTGAAAGTTTATTGCACGGTTCAACCACCACCAAACCCTGACAAAGTGTTCCCTACATGAAACGCCAAAATTATAAAGTTTAATTTTTAATGCCGAGATTTACTGTAACACAGCCATGTTTTTGCTTTAATAGCTGATCATTATGTCATTCAATCTGTACCCGCTCTGTCGCTATCGATTACAAACGACAGAACTCGATCGAGCTTTATTAAAAAGAGGGGTCATCAAATTCGCATTCAGCGGTCCCCGAAGACAGTGCGTGGGGGTATCAACTGTCAAGGAGGCCGACCGGCTGGTCATGAGGAATAGAGATAAGAGCGTAATTACAAGGTCCTCCATGACGCAATTTATATAACGATCGGTCAGAGCCATCTTTTCATATTTCTCTGATTCGGTGCCAGGATTACATGTGCCACAGTGCGCACACGCGTGCACGATCCGGCGCCCGGCCTTAAATTCTTTGAATTCTAACAAAACATCTTTTAAAGAAAAGTTCTATTCCTACGCCCCCCCCCCTGGATCGTGCTCTATATTTTTGGAGGGGGTATTTTAATTGTAAGAAACAAAGGTTAGATTTCCATGCTGACTTATGAAGCAACTAGCTCGCATGAAAACAACAATAACTGGCCGGCCTTTTATACCGAAATCTAATCTTTTGCACGAGCCACAGCTGCGATGGAAACAATTTCACTAGTCCCTATCAAATTACCTCAGAAAATGTAATTACTTCAAGCAAGGTACAATGCACATTTTATAAGTGATTGATTCGACTCACACGCACCCTGTGCCATAAACCTTTTCACATTACAACAAAAGGGCACACAGGGGCGTTGATGTTTCCCGAAAACTATAGGCCTTCACATACCAATTTGTACAAACTATTAACAGTGATTAAAATTGACGATAATTTCTCTGGTAATAACCAGGCTGAAACTCAATGAGGAATGCCATATATTTCTGTTAATCTTATTCTTATTATGAACCTCTCAGTTTAAACACTTGAGCACAGAAGGAAAACTCTATTATTACGAATAATTTCAACCTAAGTATACAAAGCACAACCTGACCAGATGACTCTAAGCCTTTGAGTCATCTGGTCAGGTTGTGCTTTGTATCGGCTAGGCCTCAAACCTGCAAATTCTCTGCTGTTAGAACATTTTTTTATGGTTCTCGGACTGGATTTTTTTTAAGGATGGAAGCTACCAGGAGGACTGTCCGCTTGTTTTTCTGAAAGTATTGGAGAAAATGGGATCCTCTCAAATCGATATATTTTGCATTGAAGTACTGTATATCAATTTTCAAAATGGCGATGGGCCTCATGTTCTTAAGGGCGATCATCTAAGTCTCTCTGGGTGCAGTCCACGAATGCAACGGCGAGAATTTCTCCTCGTAAGCGTGAAAAGTGTCCCCTCCGCAGTTTCTTTTGAAAAGGGGGGTTTTTTGGCCCCCAAAGTGGTAAGATGGCATGTCTTATCGTAAAAACTCCGTGGGATCATAAAATATTAATGAGCTCTCGCGTAGAAATACAACCATTTGGTGGAAAGCACCCTGAAGCCTCACTTTCACAAAACCGACACTTGGTGGCGCTTCCTATAAAAACAAAGCAAAGCCGACGCAAGATCATGTAAATGACGCAAGGGCATGTAAATAAATTTACGTACTGCTGGTGACTGATCTCGGGAAATCCCAAATCGCCTGAAATTTACTTTCGAGATCCGATCTGCTGGTAAGATGCGTTGTGAATAAATCTCTTCATTTTTGGTTGATGGAAGTATTACAAAGTATTTGGCTATTTTATTCCGTTCATTGTTGCCTAAACAGTGCCACTGGTCGTCGATGATCAAGAAGCACTCCGTCATGTTCGTCACTAACTTCGTGCTGTTACGCCCCAACTATAGCATAAGTCCCAACTATCTATAGTTGGGACAGTCCCAACTGTAGTGCTGCAGTTGGGCTGGCCCAACTATTGTTGGCCCATTTCTATGGGAAATGACTCCATGGTCTTAACATTATCCAAGTCAATGTGTCTCACACTTGTTAAAATTCATCTAAAATGTGGCACTTCATAAGCTTCATCTGTTCATTTAAATTTAGCCCTATGACATGACATTTGTAAACAATATGACTGGCACATACTGGGCACATTATGCACACAGGCGCTGCTGTAGTTGGGCCGGCCCAACTGTGGCACTCTAGTTGGGACGGGTCCAACTTTAGTTCGGACTGATGCTGTAGTTGGGGCGTAACAGTGCCGTCATGATGACGCCGCCGTGACCGAGTGTTTTGTCGCACAAAATGTCATGGTTGAAGTGAACACATTGCTGTTTGGTGTCTGTAACTGATGACATCACTAGAAATTCCACTTATTTATCTCTCTTTTTCCCCTCCTCCTCGTTTCTTCTTGGAATCAGCGATTTGTCTCATTTTACTGTGTTTCTTTTCCTGGAAAGATCGAGTTCCAATATATGGTTTGTGCCCCTGTGCACAAACCTATGGGACTTGTCTTTTCTCGGCTAAATTTCACTTTTTATGACATGTTATCACTTGCTGATGGTTGTTGTGACATTTTAAGGGAAAAATAATGTTGTCCGTGTATGGAACTCTTTCCCTTTCCCGTATTTTCATCTCACCACAGTTTCCTGATTGTACTTTCTCGCCCACGTCCTTTTACTCATAAAGTATTTCTTTCCAAGCTAAGCTGGAGTTGTCCCAATTCAGCACTAAACAAAGTTGGGGCAGTGCATAAAGTTGGGATGTGAAACCATCGTGACTGTGGTAAGTGTTGTGTCACACCAAAACCATGGTAACCCTGCAGTATTCTCTCCCTTTTTATCCACTTGTGGCATTATTTTCAGCCAAAAATCTAGACTTTGAAAATGAAATGACACAACCGCCACTTTTCATGACCAACTAGGATGGCATGGGACGCGACGCATACTGACTCTTGAGTGACCTTTGCACACGAAAGGTTGAAATTTGTATGACATCTTGAACCAACATTTCTCCTGAGAGGGGGAACAACAAGCCCCACCAGAGTTCAGGGGGTACTAAATGTGAACATTCTGTGAACGTCCACTTTATCAGTTATCAAGTTCTTCTGGTACTATGAGTTTTCACTTTTTTCCCAAATGAATTTTTATGATGGAAACAGTTTATTAGAGAACAATTTTGAGCTTTACACATTTTTATTGTCATCTTTGCATTCGAGAAATAAAGCAACTTCCAAGATTTAACACCCACGTGGAATTGTTTACCCTTTTCCTTTGCTTCTGGTTTGTAGTTCTATATTGGAGTTACACCAGCGCTGATCATCATGGCTTCCGGCCTGTCACCAACCAGTCCCCATTCTCCTGTCGAACGTAGTGCCTGGAGCTTGTCAAACAACAGTGAGCCTTCCCAAGCCATTGACGATCGCGAATTGGCCACGGTCCGAAGCCAGCTGCAGAGATTTGTCAGCCAGCACGAGGACTCAAGCACTGATTACACGGAAGGTGCCACCAGTGAGTTCTGTAGGCTTAAGTCCAGCCGCCGTTGTACACCCAGTGTAATTGAATCCCTTGAATGATCAATCATGACTTGAACAGAGACTAAGGTGCTAAGGTTGACTTGGATCAAGCCTCACATTCATGTCAAGCAATCCAAATATATAAAATGTGGATATTGCATGGATTCTGCATTTATGAGGTTTGTTGACAAGTAAATCGTTAACAAGCGTTCAAGTGAACATAAATTGAAATAAAAAAGTCTACTGAATTTCAGCAAAATGAACGTCACCCGAAGTTGCAGAACTGTAATTCACCGGACAATTTGGGGAGTGTTAGTGGTTCATCATATTTGAATCCTTCAGAAAATTGACAGTATTGTTGATCATTTTCTGCATTTTAACTGGTCTAGGAATCACAAAGCTGCACTGGATCAACTCAAGTCAAAGGTCAAAGTGTCACAACTCTAGCTGCAAACTGAAGTTTACTTTGACACATAGGAAGCACCACTGTCGAAAGTAAGAATGAGAACGCCTCATTTCATTTTTTTTTAAATGTCCACTTCTAGCAAGGGGTGCGGTCAATTTCATATTGCCTACTTTGAGTGGGCGGACCAAGTTTGCAGAAATCGCCCTAGTTTGGTATCAAATTTAACGTAAAAAATATATATGTTGGGCAATATTTACTTATGCGCAATCACGATCAGTTGATCTTAGTGCATGATTTGTCAACAATTCCACCATCAGCCAATCAACTTTGCTTTCTACGTTGCGGTTGTGAAAGATTATTTTAAGAAAGGGAAACAAAGTTGAAGATTTCAGGCAAAATCAACCAACTGCACTGAGTATCAGACAATTGTGCAAATTGATCAATTTAGCACAACATATATTTACCCCATTACTTTCGGTCAGTAAGATTATGGTGCGTTCATCGATCATGTGTGCTCTTAGCTATTAGTGACAGGATCTTGCACAAGCACACGCAGAGTACTGACCTGAAGAAAGTCATTGCCTCATAGAAACACATTCTTTCTTGCCCGAAGCCATACACGGGGTAAAAAGTTCACCTTTTGGCCTTTTTTTTTTTGTCTTTAGATGTGGTGAGGTGTTTTGCGCCAAGTGTCTGCAATTTCAGAGGAAATTATCTCCCACCGCCGAGTATGATCCAAACGGCAAGCTGTACATGGTGAGTCATGCACTCATTCTCAAGACGTCAAAGTAGCATTATTCCTGTGCATTGAACATGCCAAGCCAGGTTTGCACTCCACACGTCTGTAGGCGGAGCCACTTCAATAGTGAATGTATATATTAATCAAACGATAACACGACATGTAATTTGTTACATGTATATGCAACCGTATGCGAGTTCTTTGTTCCAAGGTAACCGTTTTTTTTTTGGCTAAGTGTTGTTTGCATGTTGTAATGAAAAGTGTAGAAATTACACCGTATTGTGTAAAAGCTGATATCATGTGGGTGTTGATTGAGTAAATTGCCTTTGATGATATCGCCAGGAATGTTACATGCAGTTTGAAATTATGAAAAAAGCATAAATTAAATGTATGTAAAGCAAGATTAGGTTTGCTGGATGGGACATTTTCCGGGTGAAAATCATTTACTGAGAAGGAAAATTCACCAGTGGGTGCTGTTTCCTTGATTTCATTTGCTAGGTTTGTTCGGACTGCTTTCATTCCGAGACGCAGGGCCGAGGGCAGGCTCGCATCTGGACGCAAACATTTGCCGAGATGCGTAGAGACTCCCTGACCGAGCGGGCCAAGTTCACCGACAACACCAACACCAAACCCACCAGGTATAAATCTGGAAAGTAGGTTTGAGTCAGCGCCATGTCCTGACATGAATCCCACAAAATGAGTCTTTGGAAGTAGTTGTTATTAGAAAGAGCAAACGGAACTCTCTGTTTTGATTTATTACTCAGTTTGGCATCCTGATGAAAATTGACATGTGAATGAAAAATGTAGAGTGTTCTTACAGATTGAGTCGATGCAAGATTCTTTCAAAGGCCCTCAACTGTAAAATGGAACTGGTGTCTTTGACTTGTTTTTAGTTTGATCACAACTCTCCCTTTTGAAAGTGTGGAGATCTCTAGATATCAGATGTTCTGTTCATTCTTAAACTAAAATAAATAGGGCACACGATTCTGTGGTTTTTTCTAAAAATAATTAAAGTACAGTGAGTAATCCAAATTTGACTGGAATTTAAAATTTTTTATACAGTCTAATTTTCGAAATAGTCACTGTCTTATTTGCGTGAGCGAGCACAATATCAAATTTTTTTTATTCATGTTACCTCAGATCTTATCTCCAGAAGGAATGCCAACGCATGGTGGACGGCTTCACCAAGAACCTTACCAGCATCACCCCGACTCAGAATGGAACGGCCTCGGCAAAGGTGGACACCAAAAAAGGGAGCAGACTCTTGAAGAAGCTGGGCTCCATCAAGACCCAGGTGGGCAAGGTCCCCGGCCTGGTGAAGCCCGGCTCGCCGGAGTGGCTCCGACCCGACGCTTGGGTGGTAAGTCTACCTTTTGGCAAATTAATTAAGGCCACCGAAGATGGGCTGTTTCATATGCAGGGTTCCCTTGGTCTAGAACAAAAATTGGAAAATTTATCAAGGAAGTTTATTTGAATTTTTTTTTCAATGATATCCTCGACCGTACAGTCACCAGGTCCCCAACTTTGCCACCTATTGTGAAGTCGAGTTGGTTTTCAAAATAAATGGCAAAATTAGGGACCTGGCAAATGTGCGGATACGGATGTTAGCCAAGGAAATATATGAATGTGACACAAGTCATCAAATAGTCATGGAATTCTGATAGGACTAACTTGTTGTCATTTTGTACATGTATATTGGTAATTTAGCTTCAATCTTGATTTTTTTCACCCGTTACAAACATTTTATGGAAAAGGTTTCAAAGTTTTCATCTGCATTTTGATGAACGAAGTCACAAAAACATTTTTCAGTTCATGGAAAGTCGACCCTTTTATCAAGCCAAATTGAAGGCTTTTTGCATTTCATTTGATTTCCTAAACACTTCTATCACCAACAGTCGTGTTACTTTCACAACCATTATGGATCAACCTTTTAGCCAGAAGTTCTCCCCTCCACAAGGGAAGCAGGGTAACATTCTCCTTCCTTTCCTCAGCCGGATGGCACCAACTGCCAGTTCTGCGGCACGGCCTTCACCTACAAGAAGCACAACTGCTACATCTGTGGCCGCCTGGTGTGTCTCACCTGCTCCCACAAGGATCTGCTCCTCTACGTGCCAGACAAGAGTGACCAGGAACGGGAAGGGAAGCATGCCAGGTGGGCTGTCATCAGAGTCATCGGGGTGAGTTGTACTCGGAGTTGGGATTGGTATCCTCCGATCAAGGCTTGTTTTCAGAGTCTTAAGGGGGAGATGTATTTTAGGCTTTGAGTTGGGATTGGTATCCCCCCGATCAAGGCTTGCTTTCAGAGACTTAAGGGTGAGATGTACTTTAGGCTTTGAGTTGGGATTAGTATCCTCCGATCAAGGCTTGTTTTCAGAGTCTTAAGGGTGAGATGTACTTTGGGCCTTGAGTTGGGATCGGTAACCCCAATCAGGGCCAGTTTTCACAGTCTTGGAGTGAATTGTATTTCAGGGTTGGAGTTGGGATTGGTATCCCCCGATCAAGGCTTGCTTTCAGCGGGTGAGATGTACTTTAGGCTTTGAGTTGGGATTACTATCCTCTGATCAAGGCTTGTTTTCAGATTCCTAAGGGGGAGATGTATTTTGGGCTTTGAGTTGGGATTGGTATCCCCCAATCAAGGCTTGCTTTCAGAGTCTTAAGGGTAAGTTGTACTTAAGCAGTTGAGTTTGGATCGGTATCTCCCAATCAAGGCCTGTTTTCAGAGTTTTGGGGTTGATTCGTACTTCAAGGACTGTTTTTCCCCGAGCTTAGGGTGACCCCCCTCCCACCATCTGAACAGTGTACACAAGTTGGAAAGGGCACTGCACAGTGAAACTATTTGCATGCGGGATAAATCCGTTGCCCAAGCTGGGAGTGATGAATTGTGGGTAGCTATACATAATCTGGAGATTACACACCCTGGATACATTCATTATGAATGGAAATTTGAATCGTGGAAAGTTTGGAAATCTTAGTAATAATCGATGGAGGTGAATTGGAATGTTTTCCTGAGCATAAATATCTTGGAGTATTTCTAAGCCACCTTGAAACCAAAGATGCAGATCTTGTTTCTCATTTTTTGCCGTCAAAAGAGTCCGGAGATTGAGCCGGACAAGAGGCTGTACGTGCGTACTTGCAAAATGTGCCTGGTGGAGCTGACAGAGCTGCAGGTGGACAACTACCAGGCATCCACAAGAGGAGAAGACAGTAAGGACTGCGTAACCAAGATGATGGAGATCCACGAAAACATCACCACATTCCAGGTCAAGATTGACGAAATGCTCCCAAAGGTAAGTTCTCAAGACGTCGCGTGCAGTGTCACGTCCCTGTTCAAAGTGGAAATTTATTCTTTGAAACAATCCTGGAATCCTCCAACACTGGATTTTAGGATTTTTAGCTCCAAAATTTTGGATTTGGAGAGGTTTCATTTTGGGGTTTTTGCAATTAGTATAAAAACCCAAGCGTGAATTTTTACATACCTGTAATTTCAGCCCTCAGGGAGAGAACTTAATCCTTGTTTAATTGCTGCGAATGAAACCCGGGAATGTCACAGATGCAACTTGTTTTTGCTACAACCCCTCCGCTGGATTGGGTTGTAGATATATTTTCATTTTTCCCTCAGTTCAACCCTTACACTTCATTTGATTGACTTACCACGACTTACCGCGGTGCACTTTTCATTTGCCGTGCAGTACAAGCAACTGATTGATTCCCTGGAGATAGCGGCTGAGAGCCCCAAGTCCCTACCGCCTTCCAGGAACAACATGCAGGTCCTTGCTAAAAACCAGGTAGCAATCAACGCTTCCCAAGTCTGTCGCAGATTTTACATTGCATACTGAGCCATGGTTTTCTTGCTGCGCAGGGCCTAGCTCCAGTGCAAGCAAACTAGTGTGGGGAGTTTTGCCATATCTCAGCTCAGTCTCTGTCAGTTAACAACATTTACTGCTGCAGCCAACTGAAAATTCTCTAAGCCTCGGTCTCACACGACGGACAACTGGAGGAAAAATTCCATACTCGTTGGTCACTTTTTTGACTATTTAAAAATTCCAATGACAATATTTTGGTAGGTTGGAGACAGGATTGAAAGAAGGGGCCTCTTCCCCTTTCATGTGAAAAAAAAATCCAAACACTTTTCCTTGATAGTGTGGGGATACTGTTCTTCTCAACATGGCGACCATGGTGGCCTCCAACCTCTAGTTGATCATGTAAAACAATGCTTAAAATCATCCCAAATTTATCACCAAAGACAGAATGTTCAACTTCCTTACAATATCAAATGATTTGCAGGCGAGTGTTTTGTACAATAACCTGTAAACAAATAAAATATAGTTCTAGAAAAGTGGTCAACGGGTATGGAATTTTTCCGCAAGTGGATGTTTTATAGTAGCCTTGCTGAGCTTAATAGTCTCCTGCTCGGCATGCTAACTTCATGATATCATTGTTTGATGAACTCTTGATTCGATGTTGTTTGGGGAATAGTTTTTGTGTTTCACTGAATTTTACCTTTAAAACTAAGAGCAGGCCTTTGATTCCATTACAGATTATCAAAATAGGTTATCATTTGGAAGCTTTAATGAAGGTTTTTCTCAATTTTAGCAATCTGTACTGTGCTGATTGATTTCACCCAGAGGACTGGGAACAAGTCTATCTGTGCAGACATCGTCACCAGCTTTTTTTCCCCCCCTGTGTAGGGTGATCTGGCCGATCACTTCACTTCGTTCGTCGTGGCTGTGAGTCGCCTCAAGCAGTTGAAGCCCAGAACTCAGACTCAGCTCAAACTCGTCAAGTTGCTCATGAGGGTATGTCATCAGACCATTGCTTCAAACTTTCCTCAATCCTTTAATAAAACGAAATTTGGTAGCCAGGAGCAAATGGAAGTCAAAGGACAACAGAAGTATTTACTTAATTTTTTTTAAATTGACAGAGCGGTCGAGAGGTTGGAGGCAACACATTCAAAGATCAAATGTCGCAGTGAATCGAGATTTAGCACTGTCATGCGACAACAGCAAAACTTTTCAAGGAAGGAGACGAAAAATTATATGCGCATGATTAATATTGCTTTAATGACCTCTCCTGTGTAAACCTCTCACTTCCAAACAATCATCAGTAATTCATTTGAATGAATTTTCTTGATTACCTATCTTTATTGTAGTCCAAGTTTTCTTACTACAATGACAGCATGTACAACTTCCGTCAGCTGAAGAAACGCCTAGAGCAGATCTCACCCCCAGAAGTCTTAGAATCCATTCAGTCCATCGTGGACTCACAGGTGACTAGATGCAAACCCACACAGACACCCAGACGGACAAGGGGACGGAGACCCCGAGAGGGGTACGACTATGTGGATTACGACCAACCGCAAAGTGAAACCTTGGGGGACGAATACGAAAGCGGTGGACGGACACCCACAGACTACCCAGAAGAGATGGGGGTGGGGGGAGATGTCAGTGAGAGTGATGCTGACGGAAACGGGTTCATTGTTGTTGAGCAGGCGAACAGTCAGACCCCAGAACGGACGGTTGGAGAGGGTAGTGAGACAGGGTTTCCCCTGGGGTACTGATATGTGTGAGGTGGTCCAACAAATTGCCAAAATTCTAATGCCTAAAACAAAAGCAAGCGTTTTCGAAAAGGCCTAAAATATATTTTGTATTTATTTCAGTTCATGTAATAAATCAATCTTATATTCTTTGTCCCTCTTTACCATTTGGAACGATTGAAAACTGATCTATTTCAAAAGATCCAAGTTATTTTGCTCTCACCTTCCATCTTTGTCTACTTTGAGTGGGAAGTGGTAAAATTCAACAAAAAAGTCTGGGGTGGTCACTTCAATCAGTGGGGTGGGCCACCTCACACTCGAATGGGCAGGGGAAACCCAGTAGTCAGAGCAAAATCAGTGACTAGGGATTTCCATTTGGTTGCTTGGTCGGCATCTTTACAAGCAAGGATGATAGCATAAGGATGAACTAGTGCCCTTGAACAACGCTCTCGACAGATTTAGGAACCACCAATCTAGAGCTGAATAGCTCAGTTGGTAGAGCACTGGCACAGTGTCCTGGAGGTTGCTGGTTCAGATCCCAGTTGAGTCGTTTTCTTTATTCAACTCTTTTAATTCATATACTTTCCACTGCAATTAGGCCCATTTGTAGATCAGTTCAAGTCGGTACGACAATTATTTTGATGCGTACATTGCTGGTGTAGAAGAGTTGTTGGCTTGAGGTTTTCCTGGCTTTAAGTGCCTTTATGCTCGTTTTTTTGGGGGGGGTTGATTGTTCTCTCCGTTTTGGCTTGACATCTGTGCCGCGCCTCGGTGTATTCAGAAACTGGGCTTAATGTTACTTTTTAACATGCATCTGTTGTTTCCGATTCTAGGTATTAGCATAAGATACAGTATTCAAGATGTTATTCTTCAGGGAGTCGGTTTTTCCTTTTTCTGTGTGAGCAATTTTTGGGTTTTTATTTTTAAAAAGCTAGCAATTTTTTTTATGCCTGCAGCTGTCAATCTGATTGAAAGTGCCACTTGTTTTTAAAAATTGTTTTGCAGAAAAAAAGCTAGTAATTTTTCTGTGGCTGCAATTTCCAACCTGATTTAAAGTTCTGCCTGCTTTTTAACATTATGTTGCAGTTTTGTAGAAACTTTATCATTTACTTTGAAAGTGTTTTGGGGGTTTTCTCCCAAAGATTTTGAGACATGGGCTACCGTTTCAGAAATCTACATACATGTATTATATAATTTGTCATGTTACCTTTGTGCTGGCTACCATTAAACAAGCATATTGACAAGTTGGAAGTAAAATGTTGGTCAAAGTACCAAATGAATTTTAATGTACGACCATCAAGGCAGGATTCTCTCTCAATCTTCAAACACACCAGTGCCATTTTTAGATTTGCTTTGTAGTTTGCTCCATAGCGTAAGATTTCGATGAAAATTCTCATCCGGTTGTGGCATGCTGATTTGCATTTTAGTGTCACAGGTTCACCTTTCATTTTGGGATACAACACATGTCCAGACGTTGGGGGTAGGCGTCTGTGTTGCTGTTGCTGTCAGTGACATTTTTGTTGTCATTTGTGACCATTGACGGTGACGCGGTACTAACTTTGACGTTGAGTTTGCATGCAGGGTGCCACACACATCATAGATTGCTTCATTTGGTTATTCTGTTTATTGGATACTTCGTGCATCATTTCTGTTGGGTGATGTTCGTTTCAGTCGGGAGCCACATTTCACAGATTATCTGAGCAAAAAAAAATGAGCTTACCAGAATTTTTGTGCTTAGAATTTGCCGCCAAGAAACAAAGCTGATACGTGTAGCCAGAGGGATGAGTACTCACCTTCCATACCTAGTGTGGACTTGTGATCAAAAGATGTCCACATGGTGCAGGAAGGGAAGACGTTCTGTGGACTTAAACATGTCCACAGGAGGATTCCTCTTCTCTGAAAAAGAAGATTAGAGGCATTTTGGAGTTAGGGTCATCCGTCATAAAAGAGGAACAGTCGAGGAAACCTTGTACAAAAACCCAGTTGAAAATTGTGTTCCCAGTTCAAGAAAAATGGAAAAAAAACAAAGGAATGTCCACATTAGGCATGTAAAGTAAGTACAGGCATGCGTGCACCTCCGGGACGTCCTTTAGTAGCCAATTTTGGACACCTTGTCAATGTTTCGTTACAGAAATGCCCAAGTTGCGAAGGCTGGCTATAAATCCTGGTACTTTTCTTTCTGGTTTGCCAGCCGCTGTTGGTCAACAACTCTGTGTGCTGTTTCTCGGCAAAAATTACTCGCTGAGCAAAAATGGGCCATTAGTAGTACTCATCAAATAAAGTAGAAGTAGAAAGTAGAAATAACTAATTATACACTCACCTGACAAAATATGGAGGGCCTGACGTTTTGATCCTGGCAGAATCTTTCTCAAAGGCGAAAAGAAAGATTCTGCTGGGATTGAAACGTCATGTTTTGTGATTTGTATTTTAGGTCACTGTAGTCGGCAAGCAGTTTCGTATAACATCTCTCTGGTGTACACTCACATGTATAGTAACCTGCTCCTGCTCAGGCCCATTTCTGCCCTTGTGCAATTTTCGGGACTAAGTTACTTCATGAAATCGGCAGGTTGTGGTGGCAGTGAAGAAAAATAAACAGACAGTGGTACTGTATATATGTCCTCAATTTCAACAGTATTTCCCTTTGTTATTTTCTTGCATGTTTCTGCACTGTTGTTCCGTCGGTCATCTTTTTGCCGGACCGTTTGCATCTCACGGGGTGTATATGTGCACTGCACGGATTTGCTGGGTGGCGGGTGCACGTTGCTCACTCAGGCAATCAACTCAACGTGTCTCTCCATCGGTCAGTTGTCCTACGAGTCACTCCACATTTGTCTTACTTACGAGCTTAGTGAAGAACTACCCGCCATCTTCAAAGATACATACGAGGTAAGGTGTTGGCACTATGGTGATTTGTTTCAAAGCACAAAATGACAACGTGAAGTCATGGCCACCACTGCATAGGCCTTCAGGACCAATAAACTGGAGGGATTTTGACCTAATTCTGTCGAGAATATAAAATTTTCATTCTTGAAACTAGCAGTTCTGCTCATGGTAGAGCCACCCTTAAGTTTAGTGGCCATGTGCATCAGTGGCAAGGTTTTGTAGATTTGCCCTCTCTAGGTTCAGGTTCACTTTATTTTCAACATTAGGGTGAAGGGGAGTCCCTAAAAAGCAGTGCTTGTCGAATAGGGACCCCCACTTAGACAAACTACGCATACTTTTTTCCCCGGCAGAATCGGTTGACGTCTACCCGTCTTTTTTTTTTTAACGTTCAGGTCTGTCTGGCTGACTTGCAGAAGATTATCCAGGAGCAGGGACAGAACTGGGAGCAGCACAAGAAAGACATCACCAAATTCATTAAAGTGCAGCTCACGGTGAGGAATATTCATGAGCTGTGACTCTACTCCGTCATGGATATAGAGTACAGAACAGAATGAATATTCACCAGCTGTGCTGGCACTCTGTCATAGATATGGAGTACAGTGCAGAATGAATATTCATGTGGTGTGACTCAACTCTATGCAGTGCAACACAAAATGAATATTTATGAGCTGTGGCTCCACACTGTCAATGATATGGAGCACAGCAGATTCGAGTATTCAGGTGGATAGGCATTTGAGAGTTTAATACCCCATCAGCAGGGGCTGTTCACGGATTCACATGAACTGAACATGTTTAAGCTGGCATTCCATTTGGTGCTCTTTATCCCAAACAATTTGACCTATATATAATAATAAGATGAATATAATACAGAATTGGCTTATTACTGAAAAAGTAGCCGATCATCAAAGCACCAAACTCGTAAACTTTTTAAAACTCTTCCACTCAGGGAGATGAGGAAGCCCGCATGGCTCCCAGCCTGTGCCTGACGCCGTCCCCCCGCTACGTGCGGCTCTACGGCACCTGCTACGTGGATGAGTACCTCTTCAGCCGCTGCGAGGAGATGGCGGGCAAGATCCTAATGCAGCTGCAGAGCAGATGCGCCTACCGCAAGTTCCCCAGGAGCAAGGAGTCCCTGGCCTGGCTGCGGCAGAGCATCAAAGATCTCCACGCCGTGACCAGGAAGAACATGGAGTTGGACCAGTGAATGAGGAGACACGTAGGGCATTCTTGTAGGTCAACTGTACCGCTGAGAGAGATCCCTGGGACAAAATAGGGAGGGGGGGTCGACAGACTCTTCATGCTAACTTCTGCAGTGGTTCGGATGTTCTCTGCTTCACACGGAATTCTTCGGTGACTACGGCAATGTGTAACCACAGTGGCAGGACAAGGTTGCTTCTCTTCACTATTTGACTTGAAATTATGCATGAGTCTATGATTGTTGCCGAGCCACTGCCCCATAGGGGCTTGTGTAATCTCAAGCCACAGCCAAGCAATTTAGATACCGCCTTAAGTTGTCAGTGGATTCGTCCCTCAACTTTCAGAAAAAGATCCCTCCTGAGCCATGAATCACAAAGGAGAGATAGTAGTCTCAGATTAAGCAAAGGTCGAGCCACCACAAAAAGAAGTACATATATTCAGGGCCATTTGGATTTCAAAGTTTCAGTAAATACCAAAACAGTTTATCAGAAGTGACCATTCCAAAAGTCTTCATGCCATAGTCATTATTGCTTGCATCCAGCCTTGTATATGCTGCTCTTGGCCTACAGATGACAGTCTGAACCCAAACCCACAAAATAGGACTTTGTGTGTGTAACAAGTTTTATATTTATTTTTGAAATTGAGCCTGGGGGTAAAAGGTCACGCAGCGAGCTTCCGGAACCCTCGCGCGGTCCTCCTCTGGGGATTTTACGTTGGGCCATCCTATCGCGTGCGATAATTTTTTGAAGAACAATTCCGAACTGAAACCACCCCATGAAACACTCCTGTTGGAATTTTACCTTTGTCTTCCTCAAGTAATATTTAGGGAAAAGTTACATTAAGATATGTAAAAAACGAATTTTCTTAACCTTTCACTTCCGGTGATATCGTACCTAGGTCTTCATGTTCATGCACGTTTGTTTTCACTGCCCTTGCTTACGTGAAAGCGAGATTGTACAACGTCGCAAAGATTTACCTACTTGCAGTTGATGGGTTCTAGATTCCGTTGAGTTGACATCACGCAGTTGTAGTCAGCAAAGGTATAATAAAAGATTAGAATCTTTCGTAATTGAAGTAGAATATTGCTTTAAGTTTCCCACTTATAAATTATAAGAGTGTGCAAAATATTTTGATCTGTTTATTTCGGTTTTTACCGACGGACTACCATAAAATTTCAAACCATAAATGTTCATCTGAGTACGAGACTGCCTCATTACACTGTTCATGTATTTTAGATTTTCGGAAGTGATGGGTCAATGTTTGGCAGGATATTTTAGGTCAGGTGATTTTCAGTTTCTCTAAATTGATATACTACCAAATATTTTCCAAAGCCCCTTTTCCGAGTTGGATTTCTTAAGAAGTAACTGAACGAAAAAATATTCCAAATTCTAAAATCTTTGCGTGTTATTTTTCCTATCCAAGGGTTCCGGAAGTGCGTCCATCAGGGGTCAACTTTCAGGCTCTATAGCAGTTGTAGCTTTTCTGGTTGCAGGTGATGCTATTGTTAATCTCAAGTGCTTCACAGTTACTTTTTCCAATTACGTATGGGCATTTTTATCATTGGTAATAGCTCATAACTTGTTAGCAACATCGGTACTTAACCATTGTTAGATTTTTATCAATTTAGAATATGTATGTATTGCAGCTGCAGGCATCATTAGGACTTGCGTTTGAATGATATAGATCTGAAGTTAGTATTACTCCAAGTAAGACTTGGATGTGCAGTTCAAGATGTTATAGATCATTAATATTCATAATGTGAAGTAGCAATGCAACTTATGTCTGCACAGTTCGACAAAAAGGTCTTTAAATTAGCACATATATGCAAAAGTCCAGGTTCCTTATTTTCTCAAAAGCTAATATGTCAGATATGAAATCAATGATTATTTTTATAGCAGTTAGTATAAAGGTGAAATTGTGAAGTTCAGTGATTCAATGACTACAAGTCAAGCACAAAGTACTTGCAGTGTTTGTACTTTCAACTTTATTTTTGCCGATTTACATCAATATTTTACAAGGAATGATTTTGATACAATTTATTTGACATCAGAAGATCAGTTACCAGTAATCAAGTGACAAATAGAAAAAAAATGGATCTATATTGTCATATGTACTTACAGTTTTTAGATATTGGGTAGACGGCTTACTTTATTGCCTGAAGTGGCGATGCAAAAATCATATAGTTTGAAGTAACTGAAGAAAATTTGGTGAGCGGAGTTTAAGAAGTAAAGCAACTGACTTTCGGCCATTTCAAAAAAATTGCCAGGGACTAGACAAGAAACTAAATTCTCTTTTTGATGTTTCCTTGAAACTGTAGGTTTTGACCAATCTAATTAGAAGCTATCTCTGTACATCCAAGAGGCCCCCATGAATGGTGGGAACATTCTGTACAAACCCCTCCCCCCCCCAAAGGTCTGCACAGTACAATTTCTAGACACTGGCCAGTAAAATACACCGACACACTCCTTCCCATTCATTACCTATGAGTAACTTCTCTTCATTTGAAGCAAGATATGGGACGGAGAGAACCCCCCCCACCTTTGTATTGGTCACTGTTTGATCGGAATCTCAGGAATTCTTTACAGACTTCTAGGGGGGGGTGCGTTAGGTAAAAATAGTCTAGAGTGTGTATAGGGATTGGATAGGTAAGGGGGTACCCCTCCGCCCCACATCTTGCCTGGTATACTTCTCTTGGGCATTTTTCTGACAGGCATGGAGGACCAGTTAAGACGTTTAAGATCATAAAAGACAAAAAAAACTTGAACAGTGTTACAGGGTGCAGAGAATGCAAAGCAAACCAAGTTGAAATTTCATACAAAATTTCTGATTTCCAGTTTTTCTCTCAAGATTTTCTGAACTGCCTTCATTCTCCTTTGTCTTCTCGGAGTCTTCAGTGTACTTACTGTAATACTGTAAGTTAGTCATGGTGAAGGACCAATCGCCATCATTACCACGAAAAAAAATAAAATTTCGTATCCAAATCAGCAGGAATCCGAAAATTCATTCGAAGTAATTACTGTTAAGATCTGGTGTCTCATTTATTAATGTTTCTCATTATTCGACGGCAGTGCTGGCTCTTGACCTCGGCGAGGGCGCTCTCTAAACACTGCGTCATGTGCAACAGGTTGGAGGGGTCGGTTTCTAGGAGTTGCGTGGTCTTGCTCCCAGACTCCTCTGTGTGTAACTTCAGCAGCAGGGAGGGATTAGTTTGGTGGTGGAGTGAGCGACTGGCAAGCTATGCAGGATGAAAATCAGAAACTTTGTCAACTGCACAAAAACAGTTTCAGGATTTCGCATAGGCATTTAAAAATGTCATGAAGTGAAATTTCACAGCACTCGTTCTGCTTCTGAGATGAACCACCATGTCAAAGTGGATGGTTTGATGCCTTGGTTAAGGAAATGTTACTGTGATTTCTAATGTTACAAAAGTAGCAAACTTCCTAAGGATATTCAAAACAGACTGGTGCTCATACAGCAATACTCCACCCCCACAGTACTACTATCAAAAAGGAACAAGACAAACTTTTTTGCTGTGTGATTGGTCCTTTCAATTTAAAAAAAAACCCATGAACTTACCTCAATGTCAAGACGCCATTCTAGATTATGGTAATGAGGCAGGTCCATGGCCATTTCTGATTGGATGGTTCGGATCTCTTTGCGGTTATCCAGGTACAGTCGCAGCAGTTCCTGCTTGAGTTCCTCGGAGAACCCCAGGGTCAAGATGGAGTCCTGAAAGTCAATCTCCGTCACCTTGGAAACAAGCACGTGACCCAACATCAAATACAGCCATGCGGGTAAACTTTCAATTTCTCCTCTTGCAATTAATGATGGGGTAATTCTGAATTCAGTTCTATTTATCAGGAGATGAAAATCCCAAAGGAATTTTAGTCAGAGACTCACCATAAGCTTGGCACTTTCAGAGAGAAGATACATCAGTCCCTCCACACCATGTTGAACTGTTTCTGCATCAACCTTCAGTTTCTCTGAATATGAATACGGAGTTTCCAGACTGATACCAACACCAACATGACAAGGTGAAAAGTTACAAAATGGCCAAAAATGTGCACCTCTGATGGTGCTGGGGTGATTAGGGACCGTTTAATAATAAATTTCAGCAACACATTAAAATGCAGCACAAATTCTCTGAAGGTTTGAGAGATGATGCTTCAAGGCAAAGTGAGCATTTTAATGTGCAGTTTGATACTCCAGAATATAATTGTAATTTCAAATGGAATTGGACACAGTTGATACAGCAATAAAGAACTTACGTGCAGCAACCAGGTACATCTTGTGGTTGATCCCTTTCCGGATGAACTCCATGGCAATCCGACAAAACTCCTGAACAACTACAGCAAATCAGAAATCATGTCTTTACTTTGCTGATCCAGTCCAACTTTCATTCCTCGTTATTAAAAGAATGTACTCTTATATGGCTGAGACAGAGTGTACTCGGCACAATAAACTTAACTTTAACAAACTAAGGGATGATTGATCGATCAGCACAATTGGTCAAACACCATGATAACACTGCATGATTCAACAGTTTTTTTGTTCAGTTGATGTTCCATCTCTAGGTGATCACCTTCTCTATTTCAGGGTTGTAATAGAATGGTTGACAAAGGGAAAAAAAGTCCAAGATGAAGATGTCCAACAGGATTGACCGAAAATGACCGAACAGAATGATCAACCATGTCAACTGTTCACGCAGAAGACTGTCCAATCGCACCCAAATAAAGTTCTAAACTGGTGTTAGTAGGGTTTTTCTCAATTTGCCATAATTTAATCGCTCTGTCTGTAGGTCTTGCCAACCCAGTGCAGTGGTTCGCTCACTCCCACAAATCACCAGGCTAATCATCTTCAAACATGCAGTGACATGTCAAAATACAGCGCCCTCTAATTTCTATTATCAGTAATATCAACAACCCTACCTTCGACATTCACCGAAACCAGAAAGTTAAGGTGTTCCTTATGTTCATCTTCCAGTACAAGCAACATCTTTAGGTTGCTGTAGCTAGAAAACTAAAAATTTACTCAGCTTTAATAAGTCCTACTGTACCAGTTCGAATACATTTGACATTTGTACACAAAATATAGCAATAATCTGATACCAAAACATTCCCGTCTCTTTTGCACACTTAGTCCATTAATGACGTCTGGGTGCCTGACGATATACTGGCAGTTTTTCCGTGTATGTGTTTGTCGTTTATTTACTCCACCAGAAACTGCCAGAAGAGGTTCATCGTGTATATTGTCGTGGGTTATTTTCTTTGTATTTCCTGCCTTGAGAGACTCCCAAAAACCATGCCATGAATTAAGAAAGGAAATATTGAGTTTATTCGTCAAAGCAACAGTCACAACAGCGTGTACATACCGAATATTAAACTGAAAAACAAAGTTTTGAAACGGCAAGCAAAGATGACAGCGTCGTGTGTTTATTTGGCTGCGGATGCCTACATGGTGTGCTTGACGCACGCACTGTCGACGGAAAGGGAAGAAGTAATGGGACTTTGCATCGGAGAGGTTCGGTTCAGTTTTGTTTGCGTGTTTGTAGCCTACGTTTACTTTTGCTTGCCCTCTTGGTCATGCTCTTGTGATGGTCCTCTGTACAAACAGTGACCAAGAGCAAGTTCGGGTGCGAACTTAAGGGGCAGTGCAGACATCTGGGAGTTTCACAAAATTGTGGGTGGCACATGGCACCGATGAAAACAACTGCAACGAGCGTGCAGGTTCGTACTGATCAAAGAAAAGATTGTGTAACCCAATCCTCGGACTGGCTAGTGCGTGCGTACGTCGCCGTGGTTGCTGTTTCCACCGGCGCTGTTCCTGCCATTTTGCGAGAATCCCAGATGTCTGTGCTGCCTCATAGTTCGACCGACATCATGTACATGTAGCTATACTGAGTAAGTGGAGCGTTGGTATCCGATCAGTACAAAATTCGAAAAAAAACGAGTACTAATGCGCCACTCAGTAGAGCTAAGTTCGACCAGCAGTCAATTACACGTGCAATTTGGTTACAGTTGAACGACCGTAGTTGGCCTATTTCTCAAATATCATAGGCCTAGTTACATTTCACCATTGACTGCGATTCTCGCCACGCACATTGTCATTGATATTTTGTACAATTATTTTCATGTGAATGGTTCCCTCCGTAATGATAAACAGAATTGGTTATTGATAACCAGTGGTGTGACCATAACCCCGTGCCTAGTCCCAAATGGTCTTCTATATAGTCCAAACCATCCATCGTTAGGGCGGTGTTAGCCAGTCAAACTATAGTCAAGTACAAGCGTAGGAATTTACGTTTAATTTGAAAAACATTCAGAAAACTTTCCGATACCGTTCAGACATTTAAACCTGTATATGTCCCATCCTTACCACAATGTCATTGAAAACTTGAATCACAACAAATTGTCTGCAATGTAAATAGTTGACACAAAGTTCCGATGATGAATATCATGGTATTCCTTTGATATGACAGAGCAGTAAAACAGTTCTGAAAATCAGACTACATTTTACAGGCATGGTGTACAATAAAAATAAATGCCAAATTGCATCTATTAAAGCATCAAACCTCTAAAAGGGATGGTTCCATTTAAATGTTGGGAAAATCTGTAAACAGATTTTGAACGTTCTTGGATTAAACATTTAAACGTATCAACGTCCCAGTCCCACCTTCAGTCAAATATAGTTGAAGATTCCAGGTTAACATGGGTAAATTTAAAGACCTGGTTTGTAGTGTTCACACTCTACATGAGAAATCTGGGATTTTATCATGGGTTGAGCCCCCTCCCAGCCCTTCACCTGAGAGAAGAGTGGTCTTTGAGATCAAAGAGGGAACTGTGTTCAAATGGAAGGAAAAATAAAAAGAAAGGATGGACATCAATAATGCTTTGAAATTTGCAGTTTTGAGTGCCAATAAATTATTTTGTAATATCAAGTCCTTCAAAGTACCTCAGATGTTACAGGCTTTTCATAGTTTATCCTTTGTAACCAGGACAGATGTTGAAACTCTGTGAAAGAGTGTTTTCACAGAGTGTGACGTTTGCTATTTTTTTCAGATTGACACCAATCGAGCTGTACACATTGTGTCAGTGATCATGCTTCAGAGGTCCGATAAGAGAAAGGATCGTGTGGAGATATCTCCAGAACAGCTCTCTATGGCAGCTTCCGAGGCAGAAATATCCTTTGTCACTTCTGTTTTCCCCACAGATCCCGATCATATCAAATCCTTCAAAATACAACCAACCTTTTGAGAATTTCATAGGATTGAGGGCGGTATAGTGTAGGGGCTGCCTTGCAAAATTTTGTAAGGTAATTTTGTTTGGCTTTTCCCTTAATGAATGATAGATACAGCCTAGCCACTTTGATGGGTCGCCCCTTGAGGGTCATCGGCTGGTACCACTCTCACCCACACATCACCGTCTGGCCATCCCATGTCGGTAAGCGTCATTGCTTTTTGATCAGGCGATGCAGATCTATCTCCAGGCACCAGTGCAGACCTCTTGGGTTTCATCACAAATGGAACATTTTGGGTCAGCTTTAGCCAAGCTCGGTCAGGGACCATTTGGTGACCACTGGTTGATTTTCCTTAGTAACCTATGCACAAATATATTCTGGGTACTAGGCACACTTGGCCAATGGTTGATGAACTTGGCTTTGTGATCAATGTCAACCATTCCATTCAAATATAATGGATCCCACTGTGAATAATGTTCTGGACTTGTAAGTTAATGAAACCCTTTTTTTTCTCATTTTTACCCGTACTAGATGTAAGAACCCAAGCATCTTATCAGTTCCTGGATGATGGCTTCATTGGTCTCATCTTCTCATGCTTCAACGAGGAGAAGGAAACCCGTGCTGGACAGATACAGGTCACATGCTTCCAGTCGACCAATCAGAGTCCAGAAGGGGAGCCCCCAATGTGAGTTTGTCCTTCAGCCCTTTGAACCTTTCGTTTGACAATACCTGCCCCTCAGAGAAAGGAAAATGAGGCCCTGTCTTTGCACGGGTGCTGGGTGCAAAGTTGAAATCCTTCCTACCAGCTTGTCTGTTCTGTGCCGGTGAGAGGGTACTTCTAGTCAGCGTGTTTTTTTTTCTTTGCAGCTATGACAGGCTAGAGATCCCCCTGTTCATCATACCCAAGGACACGATTGGCACGTCCTGCTTGGATGCTCTGGCCGAACTCCCCAAAATTCTGTCCCAAGAGGAGCTGGAGGCCTACAACCAGGCCGACTGCAACACGGGGACCTCGATGACGGACTTGTTGACCACAATGCACAATGGAGCCGGTGAGTGTATTGTTTTGTCTTCCTTTGTTTTATTTGCACAAATTTGAATTTGAACATAAGAAAAGAATCTATCAATTTTTGAAATGAAAAACCGTGCATTTGTTTGACTAACTACACAAGAAATGTTTCCAAAACTAGAATGATGTCAAACAAGTTGTCACTTCACTAACTTGTGCACCCGGTTTAAATTGCACTATGAGCTAGAAGCTCCATTTCTAGCCATTTACTAATGAAAAACTTGTTATCAATATAACATTCCACAACTGTTAAAAATTTGACATAAATTGATGTGTATGTTAGAAATGAAATTCTACTTAGTACAGCACATCTTTTATGCTGTACTATTCTAAATTTGAGTTCCAAAAACTCAAATTGGTTTCTACAATACATGCACTACTTGAAGTCATAGTTAAACAATAAATCGATTGCCAATCATCAGTGTACTGTATTTAGTTGTGTTATTTAGTTTTGGCCCCAGTTAAGCCCAACCTTTCGACCTTCTCTTTTTGGTGCTGTTGCAGTCTACACCAAATCGCTCTGCCATCTCATGGATGTTCTCAGCGGGCCGCTCATGCAGTGTTTGGAAAACCGCCTAGAAAGGAACCAACGCAAGTTGGAATCGTTACGGCAGCTCAAACACAGTCTGCAAGTGCAGCTGCAGGGCTGATGTAATATCCTCCCCCCTGCCTCTCACTTTCCCTCACGAATAATGCCCAGTCCATTTTTTAAATCAAAACGGATCCCTCTTCATCCGATCAATTTTTAAAAATAATCACCACTGACACTATCAAACAAACATGGGTACAAACGAACTCACGCGGGTCTTTCAGGAGGGCGATTGGATTAGTTGGATTTTGAAAAGTTTTTCATTTTCTTGGCCAACCAAGGAATCAGGGAATCCTCGGCTGTCTGTGTGCTGGTCTGTCTGTTGTCTTACAATCAATGTGTCCATTGGACTTGCAGTTTCCCTAAAAAGAAGTGGCATCAATCAGAAAGGGAAATGTGCCTTTTAAAGTGCGGGTTATTCCGAGGAAGTGTAAGTACAAATTGGGTACACATATCAACATTTCCAACCTTTCCATTTTTCCCAGCATTCTCTGGAAAAATGGGGGGGAGATATGGTCAAAGTGATTCTTGACAGATTTTTTTTAGCAACTGCTCGTTACACGCGGTTTGACTCTGCGAGCCAGTGGGTTTTTGGAACATCCTTTCTCACTGTAGTATCTTGAGGTACCAACACAACGGCCCTGAAGCTTTTTCATGAGGATTTCCGCTTGGACAGTAGTCGCGTAGGGGACTGGGACCTCAACACAAGTGGCCAGAAAGCTTGTCCAATCCCGCTTGGAAATCAGTTTTCGCAGGTTCCATGAACGTTTCTGGTCCCAGCTACGCAACGGCTCATCTCTTGTGAACCAATGGCAAACCAGGTCTAGCCCCTTGAATGACCGCCGTCACAATCGCAACTTTCTCTCGCTGTAAGACGGCCATCAGGCTGTGTTCTGCGCTGATGGAATGAATGTGAGAGGGAAATTTGCCTTCTTCGGCAGCATGGGCCGATAAACCCAATCTCAGTCGTACTCCTCTGCCGGAGTGTTACACCCACGAAGAATATTTATGGTTGTCTGTTTAAACCGAAAGTTCATGTATCTATGTATTTTTCATCAGTTCAGCAATTCGGTTAAAACGTAATAAAATTTCTGACACAAATTATACAAGTGATAAATTATACAAGTGATATACAAGTGATACATATATATGTACATTTGTCGAGAGTTATTTACAGATGTGATCGTGTGCCTGCTTACTGCAAGTATTCAGTGCTGTAAATAGCCAAGTACATTGTATTACACATTCTTTCCTATTTAGTAACGTCAAGTATAACGTCAGTACAAAATGAAACGGTTTACGTTCGGGTTGGTTCCGAAAAGTAGTTTGCTGCAAAACCGCCGATAATTTGTAAGTATGACCCGTTCAAATTTCGACTCGATTTATCTGATTGGAAATTCACATAGTAATTACACACAGTCGCGCGCTATCTACTCAAATACAACCAAAACAACAAATGCCACATAAAAGTGGAAATGATGGCTATTTTATATCGAAATTGAAGCATATCCAGCCAGTCATATAACGGCATTTAAATAAGTGACGGGAATGCATTAGGGAATCCAACTAGATGTACGTCAACTTGGCTATATGTATATATATATTTAAAATGCACGAATCGGAGTATTTCCGCAAGCGTCGTGAAGATACCAATGGTGCCAAACCTTTGCAAGACAAGACGAGTGCAATGGAGGCCAAAGACAAAGTTGCATTTGAATGCGAATAATTTCATGAGGTGCAAAAAATGTTTTTAAAAAAGTGCGTGTAAATTTCTACTGCGCGCGTTTACCTACGCGCGCGGTTGCGGAATTCTGCGTGGTCAGCAATTTTACAGTACACTTGCCTCCAAATCGCGCAGTTTCCCACAAAACAGAGGGTAAGCGACGGCTGCTTGCCGAACGCGTAGTTGTTTAGCGGCGATTGGGCCTGCCAAACAAATTGGGCAGTACCTTTCTGGCGGGCCTCTTCACCAATATAAGTAAATGTAATCGTCTTATGACGTAGTCCAGTAGCTCCGCCCCGGTGATGACACTGGCACCAAGAAACAGCCCAAGTAGGCCGCCCAGATCCCCGACCAGAGCCGTAAAAGACAGAGCCTCCACCTGCTTGTACGTAATGGTGCTGAGCTCCTCAAAATACACATCCAAGTACACCAGGTTTTCGTCCAAGTACGCGGCGTCGACAGCGCCCGGCCGTGCCCAGTTTTGGGCCTGAACGGCGCCGATGGCGTCCACGATCACGCTCTGGCTAGGATACTTTGCCATGGAGAGCGTTGTCTCGTAGGTGATGTAGTCGCAGGCGACGGGGCACGTACAGTCCAACGCGGAGAACGAAACTCGGTAGATGTCAAGCGCCTGCGTGACACAGTGGAACTGGTCGATGTCACACAGCTGTACGGGCTCGGATGTGTTCAGATCGACTGCCCTTTCGTATCCGAGAGGTTGACACTTACACTGGGCAATGATCACATTGCGGCGACAGTTTCTCAGGCATGTGTTCCGGCTGTATTTCCTTGACTTGTCTACTCCCCCCGTTCCACAGACGCCCCACGGTTCGGGGAGGTTGATGTGGCGTACCCGACGCATTGACGCGTACGTGTGAAACCCAGGGGCTGCCGATAAGCCCATCGTATCAGTCAAGGGCAACTCATCGCGTGGGTGAACGGCAAATTTCAGCCCCGCTTCCAAGTGGCCACTTTTGAAAGTTTCTGTGTATTCAGGCTGCCGTATGTCGACGATCAGCTGAAGTCCATTGCCGATGCCTTGCTGACTTTGTTCGTGACTTTTTTGGTCACCGCGAGTGTTAAACGTGTAGCAATGGCCGTAGGATGGCGAGTAGTAAGACGAGAAATTGAGGGCATTGCAGCTGTACGCAACACCTTTCCAGTCGCAGCGAATCATAGATTCATTAAGTGTGAACCCAGTGGTCAGGGCAAACTGGGTGTAGTTGAATCCTTCTCCAAACAAATCGTCGATATGGGTGTAATTGAAATCCTCCTCATAGTCCACCAAGTCCTCGTTCAGCTCTAGCAGGTGTCTAACATATTTCGTGTCGTCCTCGGAGATCTTGTTGTTCATGAAGCGGTTGTAGTTGCAAATTGTGACAGCCGGAAATTCCAGGGCGTCGTTGAATTTGACGATGACGTTGGTGTTGGCATCAAATTTCAGGTACGCTTGGATACGGATGACCGTGATGGCCACATAGAAGCCACCGGCGATCAGCAGCACGAGGACCCATAGTGTCTTGGCTCGAGCCCCACTGCTCCCCGCCACTCGACTGACGCCATGTAGGGTTGTGGTCGTTGCGAATTCATACTCCAAACTCGGCTCCTCTTGGGAGGCGTGGACAGACGGGTTGCAAACTGACTCCTGCGTCATTCTGCGGAACGCGGGAAAACCGTTCAGTAAGCGGGATAAAGCTCTTGACGGAACGCACAAACGGTAGCTATAACATTGGCCGTAAGAGAAGGTGACAGCGAGGAGCTACATCAAACGGCACAACCGCCTCTTCAAATTCGACAAGGCCAACCGATCAGCGTTGCCTACAAGCGGAGTGTTGTTAATATTGTGGGGGCCGCAACCAGCAGGGTGTCGCTTTAAATATTGCGCTACACTACTGAATAATTTGGCATTGCTTTCAGCGTATCCTTGAATCAATTACAGTGAACTTAAGTGAAAGAACACTACGAGCCACCAGTACCCACGTTACGCGCCGTGCATTAAAAAATTATGTTTTGTGTCTCCAGCCTTGTTTTTTCTTTCTTTTTTTTACCTTGAAAACTGTTTGTTGCTGCTTTCACCAGAGCCATTTCTGACTTTGATCGTGGTCTATTAGCTATATGTCTTGGCAGACAGCACTGTATTATTGAAAGCCTTTTCAAACTTAATATCTCTGTTGTAAAATTTATAACAATAAGCGACCTCATGAAACGTAGTGACCTTCATTTGCTCCCTTGTGTCTAGGGCAAACGCTGCTGCGATCACAGTTCGCTTTACACAATCAACCGAAACATCACCAACTACACTGTAAAAACTCTTGTGTCCAAATCAACAATTTTTGGTGTTATCAGATGACCACACCATGGGGTGTTACTTTAACACCGCTACTGTCACTTTGCACACCTGTATAGTGTTACAGTGCTCTAGAGGGTGTTAAGAGTAACACCAAATAACACCCAAATTTTTAACTCAAGTGGAAAGTGTTGGTGTAGTCCTCTGATAACACCACGGGTGTTAAATTCAACACTTTTGCAGTGTGTACATGTAGAGTATCATGTTATACCTAAGCCTACATTTCTATTTCGTATCTCTTTTGCATTTTTTAAATACTCTGTTTCCCCATGCTGCGTCGTTTCAGTCTTGTTCCCGTGTTATTTCCTGTCATTTTCATCCGGTTGATATCTCAGTCGCAACTAAGGGCGTAGATTCCGTGGCATTGGGAATTATATCGACGAATTTTCGTAGCCTCCCTTCCGAACGCATGATGATTCCTGTCCTCGGCCATTAGGATCTCATCAGGCCCGATCGTATCTTTTTCGCCGATTTTACCTTCAGGATCAGCAGCTTCAGTCGTCGTATGGCATAGTCCAGTAGCTCCGCCCCGGTGATGATACTGGCCCCAAGAAAGAGTCCGAGTTGGCCGCCCATATCCCCGACCAGAGCCGTAAAAGGCAGAGCCTCCACCTGCTTGTACGTAATGGTGCTGAGCTCCTCGAAGTATACATCCAAGTACACCAGGTTTTCGTCCAGGTACTCGGCGTCGACAGCGCCCGCTTTGCTCGCTTCGTCGTCAGGAAAGCCGCTGAGAATGTCATTGATCACGCTCTGGCTAGGATACTTTGCCACGGAGAGCGCTGTCTCGTAGGTTATGTATTCGCATGCGACGGGGCACGTGCAATCCAACGCGGAGAATGAAGCCCTGTAGCGCTCGAGTGCGTGTGCGACGCAGTAGAACCGGTCGATGTCACACAGCGGTACGAGCTCGGATGAGTCCGGCTCGACTGCCCTTTCGTACCCAAAAGGTTGGCATCCGCACACCTCAATGATGGCATCGCGACGACAAATTCTCAAGCACGTGTTGCGGCTGTATTTTCTGGAATCTCCCGTTACAGCCATTGTTTCTCCCGTTCCGCAGACGCCCCACGGTTCGGGGAGGTTGATGTGGCGTACCCGACGCATTGACGCGTACGTGTGAAACCCAGGGGCTGCCGATAAGCCCATAGTACCAATCAAGGGCAACTCGTCGCGTGGGTGAATGGCAAATTTCAGCCCGGCTTCCAAGTGGCCACTTTTGAAAGTTTCCGTGTACTCGGACTGTCCTATGTCGACGATCAGCTGAAGTCCATTGCCGATGCCTTGCTGACTTTGTTCGTGACTGTGTTGGTCACCGCGAGTGTTAAACGTGTAGCACTGGCCGTAGGATGGCGAGTAGTAAGACGAGAAATTGAGGGCATTGCAGCTGTACGCAACACCTTTCCAGTCGCAGCGAATCACAGATTCATTAAGTGTGAACCCAGTGGTCAGGGCAAACTGGGTGTAGTTGAATCCTTCTCCAAACAGATCGTCGATATGGGTGTAATTGAAATCCTCCTCATAGTCCACCAAGTCCTCGTTCAGCTCTAGCAGGTGTCTAACATATTTTGTGTCGTCCTCGGAGATCTTGTTGTTCATGAAGCGGTTGTAGTTGCAAATTGTGACTGCCGGAAACTCCAGAGTGTCGTTGAATTCGACGATGACGTTGGTGTTGGCATCAAACTTCAGGTAGGCTCGAACACGGTCCACCGTAACGACCACATAGAAGCAGCCGGCGATCAGCAGCACGAGGACCCATAGTGTCTTGGCTCGAGCCCCGTTGCTCTCCGCCACCCGACTGATGCCATGAAGAGTGGTGGTCGTTGCGAATTCGTACTCCAAGTTTGGTTTCTGTTTATTCTTAGCAGTGTTTAACTCTTTCTCTGCCGTGTTTTCCATTCTAATAGATGCGAAGGTAAGATGCTAAATGCTGGCACAGTGCTGTATTAAACAGACTACATTAAGCCTTGCGAAAACCAGGCTTGTACACTAACGGGGGCGCAGACTTCTACTGAAACGCTTGGTACATCTGTATTAACTTTAAGTAGTAGAAAGCCGCTCAACCGAGTCGATACCTGAAAAATTTCCTGAAAGCTACCTTCCTGTTATAATTACATCATACGCATATCCTTGAAGCGATATCCACTTTCCGTACTGGACAAAATTGTCAATTACTGCGTGTAAATTATCCGTGATCTATATAAGCTTTCCGAAATTTTACGCTAGGGGACTACCTATATAGAGACGGGGACGGGTACTGACATATTCAGTAAATTTGCATTAGTTTGATGGGGTGGAAAGCCTGCTGAACCATGTTGATAGCCAATTACTGCCTTGGAAGTGGCCGTGATCGTAGGCATCAAGCCAACACTCCATTACCTGCCATTATTATGGGAATTCACGTCTTTTTCATAATTGGCCCTATCTTCTTTCTTTTGTTAGATACTATTATGCTTTTGACAAGAATTGAAGTAGATGTTTTCCAACGACCGAACTGTATGGCAAACGGCCTTTCTGGCGTAATAATCGTCCATAGAAAATACAGGGAAACCAAACTGCAAGTGCCTTTAACCTTTTTTTTTCTTGGGCCATTAGTTTTTTTTCGAAGAACTTGAATGATAGTTATTATTTTCATGATAATACCATAACTAGGGGGGATTAGTGGTGTTAAAATTCCTCCACTGTCGTCTGCAGTTGTCAGGAAATTCACACTTGTTTCTACCACACAGTTCACGACAAATTGCGCCTTTTGACGGCTTGCTCTTAGTCTTTTTGATGACGCACACACGACCTAATGGAGTCTGCGTGTGTTTAATTGGCATAACGGCAATGTTGGTCTATAGAAGTTCCATGAAAAAGTTTCCACATTTATACAACTTCATGCCTTTTCCCGTTGGGCAGGATGTTCTTCGTTCATTCCTTGGGAGCCATCGTCAGCAGTGTTGATTCAGTTCCGCGTGCCAGTGTATTCTCACATCACTGACGCACCGTCATACGCGAGTAGTGGCGTAGCCATGGGGGGAGCCTGGGAGAACGTGCCAACCCCCCCCCATTCCAGGTGCCCCCACTGAAAAAAACCGAAATAATGGATATGAAACAAGGCTAACAAATACTTGCCCCCCCCCCCAAAAAAGCCACACCACTGAAAGCTGGCGCCCCCCATAAGATGCTGGTGCCCCCTTTGTGGCCCCCGAGTAAAATCCTAGCTACGCCACTGTATGCATGGTGCTTTTCAAAGGGAATAAAATGTACTTGGCCGGTCTTGGACGCCCGTTTGAGACCAGCTCAGCAGAATGAAGGCGACTGTAATGCCCAAGCGGCAGACGAGGGTATTGTCAGGGTCATTTCTTCTGGAGGAAGGGTCTCCCGACCCTTTCAGGAATGATTTGCACAACTTACAAAGAAAATACTGCCGAGGCAAAAAGAGCACTTCGTTGGTCTGCCATTTACCCACTTGAGTTGATTATCAACTCGTCGGTTCACTTTGTAAATTAATGCATGTTCGAAATTGCCCACGCAGAAAAAACTCGTCTCCACCCTTAATTGACAACCCAGTGTACACCTCGTCGAGGGAAGTATGGATTCACCGCCAGCACACTCACGCAATACCCTTCAGTGTCGGACGGATCCTTTGCTCGCGCCTAATAAGTTATCGGAACGGTCTTCACCGACACGCCACGTGTTGGCACTTGCACATGCATGACGCAGGCGTGAGTTTTGTCTACCGCGCGCGCGCGCATAGAACATCATTGAGAAGAAATACATTTTGGGACCTTTTCGGACGGCCCTTTAGGGAATTCCTATGCGTTTTTAATTTGCAATAACGGCCCAGTGACGTGGCGTAAGTCGCCAAACGAGCCCTCACTTGCGTAGTGCCGCGATGCTTTTAGTCAGGAAATGGCTGGACAAATGGAGGAGCACATGCTTCCAGACGTAACCTAAAAACATTGAGCTAAATCAGACGTGCGTCCCAACGCGGGCTCTGACCCGGCGGGCGGGAATGGGAGGTTTATCCACGCGAATTCGTCGTCCTGTCCCCACCGCCGTAAGCCCCATATCCGACCCCATTGGCTACATCTGCTCCTGTATCCTCAAACGGGATTACAGACGCTGCAAGAGATTTCTGAAGAAAGGCACCTGGATGAAGGTAGGTCTACTATGACCGGCTTTCTCAACTCTGTCTTCATGCTTTTACCTCGTTGCTTGTTGGACCTGCTGTTCCCAGTATTTTCTTTTCAAGACGAGTTTGGAGTTTGGAGTGTTTGTTCACCCCATCGGCCCAGTGCCGTCGAAGTGCTGAAAACAACTTTGCTCTTTCAATTACATTAGTCATAATAACTCCATTTCTTCTGCCCCGTACACGATTCAATCCCATTTGCCCCTTCCTTCTTTTACATTCTGCCTTTGAAGTTTATCGACTGCTCTTTCCCCTTCCACATGACCGGCGCTATAATCACATAATCCCATACTCATATCCGAACCGTCCATCCTTCAAGGTGGTCCAGCAGCAAGCTGAGCGAACCCGCAACGGCGAACCAATGGATCTGCGGATCATGGACCTCCCGCTCCACCTCATGTTCGCCATCAGCCAGAACGGCATGTACGACCGCACCTTCCTGAGGTACAAAACACGGCCCGCACACCCTCCTCTCAAGAACATACTCAAATGTGACAGTTCACATTTGCCCGCCAAACGGTCGGTGGTTCACACTGCAGTAAAGATTTAGTGTATGGCCAGGAAAGTAGATCAGGAACTTCCTGAAATGGCCTTGGCAAGTGGTGAAGTCAGATATTTTTTCCAGGAGGAATTAAACAAGTACAACTCCAGGTACAGCTACTCAAAGGTTACAGAGTGTTGAGATGGCAAGGTTGAGGGTCCCCCATTACAAATACATGACTTTCCTTTATTCTGATCTTGATAATTGATTAATTTTTATTACTTCACTGGGAGCATAGCTGGAAGGCAAAGCATACAATGAGAGGGCTCTATGGGAGCTACAACACTCTGTTCGTTGTTCTCAGTGTACTCTTGGAATTTAAAGGGGGCTAAATTTGATTTGTATCACGAAAGCTTCACGATTTCCGTCTCTGTTATAAGATTTCTGCGCCTCCTACTCAACTATGGCTACGACCCTGATATACCAGACGAGAAGGGGGTGGTGGCTCTTCATGCTGCTCTTATGAGGGTCAACTTCTTCAGCGCCCTGGCCTCAGTGCGTCTCCTGCGCAGGAGGGAGGTGTACACGACAAAGTAATTAGTTGCCAGTGGCGTCATCATTTAGATACATGTATAATGGACATATGGAAGTTTCCCTGTCCAAGTAGAAACATGTAAAGATGGAATGAGGAGTTTGATTTGGTAAAGAGGGCACTTAAATGAAAAACACAAAGAGTCATATCAGGATGCAAGTGCGGGAAGACTACGTCGTTTATGTTGTTAATAATTTATAAGTTAATAAGTTGTACGATAATTTATCATTGCTTCCTACATAATGCCCTACTTCAGATTTGTCTTGGCCCTGTGCCAAGCAGGTGCCCATGTGAATGTTCATGAGGACCGAGGTGAGAGAACGCCACTCCATGTTGCTGCCAAGTGCAACCTCGTCCACTGCGTCAAGATTCTCCTGGACTATGGGGCAGAGATTGAGGCCCTTGATGCTGAGGACAAGACCGCCTTGTGCTTGGCAGCTGAATCAGCTGCTCTGGAGTCCCTCGAATGCTTGTTAGATCATGGGGCCTGTGTAAATACATGTAGCCTGCGCAGACAGACACCACTGCATCGTGCCGTCGATGCTCTGCCAACATACAACGCTGAGCGATGCGTGCATCTGCTGCTTGACGAGGGGGCAGACCCAAATGCCCAAGACATCAATGGGAACACGCCCCTCCATCTGGCCACTCGCAGTCGGGCGGAAGGATCCATCATACACCAGCTGCTGCTCTACGAAGCGGACGCCTCCATCCAGAATGCATTGCACCACTCCGCACTGTACGAGTACCTCATTGCCTACAGCTTGCCAGAGCCTCACCAGCTGGCTTCTCAGCTGACGCTGGAGCATCTGGAGTCCTATCCAGGCTTCTTGGCGCTGCTGGAAAGTACGCCACGATCACCTCGCATGATTCGCAACAAGGAAGGCCGAATCTTGCCCATGCTGACCGAGGCCCGCCTGAAGCCCCTCTTTGAGCAATTTGACGTCCTTGACGAGCCCCAGTCTCTACAGAGTCTGTGCCGTCAAACCATCAGGCTAGCTGTGGGGATCGCGCCACTGGTCTATCTTAAGAACATGGTCAAGTGTCTTGGGCTTCCCCCACGCCTTGAGGAGTATGTGAGTAGTGCAAGGTACCGTCAGGCCATGAGGGCTCCAGGATTAATGTTTCGGCTTAGACTTATCAGTTAAGTCAAACGTCCTAAACTCTGAGATGATTAAAAATACGTAAATGCAGTTACAAAATTATAAAGCTTCACAACCAGATCAAGTGTTTTCAGTGATTTTTTGATGGGTGAGTAACAAGTGAAAGGACAGGATGAAAGAGGTCCAATCAAGTCAACAATAATAAAAGAAAGTCTATGATAAAGGGTATACATTAATTACTGTGCGAAAATTAGACATCTGTAATACAAAAGACACAAACTTCCTGCATGGATTAAAATAACAAGTCAGTTTTTTATTCATAACATGGAATCACTTCCATACTAAAATGGTATCTGATGTTTAAAACTTGGGGAATTTTATACTGACTGACCGTGATGACCGTTTGGAAGCTGTGGTGATGAGCAACTGATGGAGCACTTTACATCAGACACATGTACAAGTCTTATGAATCTTTTGAGGTTTGGGTTTTAAAACCCGTGTTTGATTTTATTCACAAGATACAACATCCCATCCTTCACCAGAGATTTTCCCCGTAGTCTTTGGAAGATTGTGCAGGATGGAAACAGGCAGAGCCCACCTACTACTATTCTGCTAGAAGTTTGATTTCCCTCACGAAGGTTCAAGTGTAAAGAATGTTCTACCGGTTGTATGGGGGAAGGCTGGGACAATGCATAAGGTTTCAAGCTAGAAACCCCAAGAGCATTGAAGTTGTTCAAGAACACAAACGTCTCAGGCCAGGACAATGTCTGTTGGCACGACTCCCATGCCTTGCACCTTTATAATGAAACTGTGGAGGCATAAGCCAAAGTGTACTGTATTTTACCTGGACAAAAAAATAATAAAGCCAGTGCTTGTTCATTCACATGTTTCCTTCCTTCATGATTCATGTATCTTTCAGCAATTCTCTTAAAGATGCATTCGACTCAGCTACATAATCCACAGGGCGTTTACCCCGCTTGTCTGGTAGCGAGATTGATGAGGTATCTGCTGCCACCAATAGTTTACATATGTCCAGGTATCCCCTCTCTGCTCCCTGCAAGAATTGAAGAAAACAAGTCCACTCAGATGTGTCCATAAATAATCCAATAATATACCGCTTTGCTATCAAAAACACAAAGAATTTGCCAGGAGACTTTTCCAAGTTGTCCTTTAACCACTTAATGCCGGGTAAAAAATTCCATTGAATTACAGGCTGCCGGGCAGTGTTTTTTGATTTTGACATTCGTATTCACCATACTTTTATAGAAAAAAATCACCCAAGAAATGCATGTCATGTAATGAGAGTCAGAAGGCAATGACGCCTGGCCGGACGCTTTCAAAAAAATGCCATTGTTATGTTTATTGTGGTGTTACATAACGGCTTCTTTGTTTGCCCTCAGCCCTGCCAGGAAGGACAAAAAATGGGTGGGCTGGGTGACGCGTTCATCGGCCAGGCTGGCCTAGAGCGCTGCGGTATTTCATGCCATTGTACTTTACAACAGGAGGATTACAGCCTATGGTGACTCATCGCAGTCAGTCTGGTCCCCACAGGGAGGTTGCCCGGCTGTGTGGATCAGAAGAATGTGGGCCATATGGGGTCAACCAGCGCTAAGTGGTTAAAAAAAATCACTTTCCCTGTATCAAAAACGTCCCACCAGCCTGTTTCTCCTTTGCCGGCGCAGAGTGGAATAATTGGCAGTTTCCTATTTTGATGAAATTTCTAAGAAGCCAATCTAGGCTTTATCAGAGCAGTTCTTCAACACAGATGTACGCCAGATCTGAAGTGTGCATGCACCCTTGTTATTTTTCGAACATTTTATTCATACGCTTACATCATGGAGGAAGGAATTCCATTCCTAATCAACCTTGAATCATTCATGCTCAGTACATCTTGTAGTATTGGCAGCAAAAATCTTTCAGGAAATCTTAATACCAACAGTGCGTCCAAATGGGTATCTCATGCAGTTTGAAAGTGAGTGCACAATTCCATGTAGGCACCTTGTGAAGAGACGACTTTCCATCTTGGTCGCAAAGCAATGGAGATGCCCTCCAGTCGAGGAGTAACTTGACAATGTCAAAGTGGCCACTGTAGGCTGCCCTGTGAAGTGGGGTCACGCCCCCCGATCGCGTTGCACTATTTGGATCTGCTTGATGCTGCAGGAGAATGCTGATGATTTCAGTATGGCCATTTCTGCTGGCATAGTGCTGAAACCGAAGGAACATAAGATGAGAATGTGAAAGGGAATGGAATTATCTTGTCCACTGCTCCAAGTATCATACATTAACATTGATGGAGGAAATTCAACTGAAATACTTTGGGCGCACACTGGAAGTATGAACTGGACCAAAACTTTACTGTACACGTAACTAGCAGTAATCAACTGATCAAAGTCCAGAGCTAGCTAGAAAATAAAACTTTAAAAGAGGAAAGATAAACTTGGAAGCATTTAATGCTTTTTTTACATGCAGCAATTATAAATTAACAATCAGGGGTTATACAGTTCATAGTGGAAGGCTGAGAAAGATCTCCATTAATAACTGGCAGCTTGTATGCCAATGCCTCGGTCTTCATAATCCACTGAAATGCAGTGCAAATCACATACCAATGCCGTATAGCCAGCACTGTCCTGAGCATTGGGGTCCCCTCCATTATCTAAGTACTTCCTGACCCGATGGGTCTCGCCATTCAAAGCTGCTGACCAAACGCCACGCTCAAAGTCCAGTTCATCCAGGCTCTGCGTCGCCGAGAACTGATGCTGATGGTCACAGCATTGATGCTGATCATCTTTGTGCATTGCCATTGCCCTTGCCTAGCTTGCCTTGCCTTGCACAGGACTTTCACCGATTCATTCATGTCAACTCACTCACGTTAGATTTGGAACTTCATGCAGAGCACGCGGTGATACAAGTCTTGAGTTCATTAGCACATTGCTGTTGAATGCATGTAAGTAAATCGTCCTGTTATACCTCAATTAGAAAATGCAGGTATGGCAGGTCAGTGAGACGTACAATTTTTCACGAAATGAATGCAGCGCCGCGCAGCACGAAAGTCAAACGTATCATACGCGATTCTGGGGCTAGCGCGACTCAAACTGGGTAGGCCCAATCCAGTTTCTTTGTGGAAAATAAACTCAATTGATTAAACTGAACACACGTTCAAGCAACAAGTGAAACCGTCCACCAAATAATTTAGTCACATCATACGATCAAGACAACATTGAGCATGCATACTAGGAATGCAATGGGCGCCGCCATCTTTGTTATGAATATGCATCCCAGGTGTAAAATTGCGGACCAATAAAAATTGAAGAAAGTTTCAGACATGGCCGCGCGCGGGCCGCCCTGCATGCATATGGTATGCCATGCCTGGCCGGCCCGGACCGTCTGGTGGCGCCGGTGCGCGCCAGCAGCTCGCGCGCACTCTATCTTCGCACCATGTCAATTTTACCTAGAGGAGACGTCTGCGTGACTACCGGAGTCACTTCAACCAAGTTGACTGTGCAGCTTCCGGCTTCACACTTAGCCCAAGTTGGACAACAGTCTTCATGATGATGATTATTGGCAAAGCATGGAGAACAAATTGTGTAAGTCTAACAAAGGGCTGCATTGAGCATGTGAAATGTTTCTTTAAAAATAAAACAAATAAATAACTGAAATGGGTCACGTTCCATCACACTGCAAAGATGTACAATCAATACAGAAGCTTTGAAGCATCAAATTTAGTAAAATAGCTGAAAATTTTTATTTCATACAAACTATCATTCAAAAGGTGCAAAATTTACAAAAAGTACTGTTTATTATCAGTAAATTTAAAATTGTAAGTATGAAATTACATGAAAGTTTATGGTCCGTTATTTCTCTTTATTTTGACATGTACTTTGGACAATCCGATTCCTTAAACTGCCTTGAAATTTTAGTCGGGTTTTCAAATTGGACATTTTCTATTGGGAGTTTATTACACAATATAAAATTTACCATTGACCTATTAAGATCAGTTGACCCCGAGTAAAATTTACAATTAATAAACAATATTGCTTCATTTTACCTAGCTGATTAAATGCTGTGATCTTGTACGATTCATGTATCTTTAGATGGTGCCTACAACATTACTTGGACATTTACCACTGTTTTGCATACATGTACTCGGAGCAAGTTCAGTAGAGCTACTTGAAAATGGCTACAATGGACAAATTTATACCCCTCTGAAAAGTTACGGTTTGATGTTCGATGAACATCAGTAACATTGATCTACCTCTTGTGAAATCTTAATACCAATACATTTCATCTTATAAGGCAAAGAATTCCTTTCAAGCGTGAAAGAACCAATCTGACAATTGTTGTTAAAGTGTTCTTTTACAGACAACCTCATACAGTCCTAGTTTAAAAGTTAAAACTCATAATATTTGATAAACAAAGACATACACAACTGGCCCTCGTGTTGAGTTTCTTCCAATGCAGAAAGTTAGATGAGATGATTATATCATGAAGTACTAGCTGTTTAGAGCATTTGATCGCAAGCGAACTTCAATGTTACTAGAAGTATCCCATTTAAAAGAACCTTTTAATGAAACAGAGCAATCTTTTTTTTTCTGAATACTGTGACAACAAATGCTCTTGAAAGTCCTAGGTATTCACAATACTGACGCATAATCCACCTGCATGGTTATGTGCAAGTGTACAGTGCAAACAATGCCCATATTCTGATCTCATTATGCATTTTGTATGCGGATTAGTGTTCGTGAAATGTCATGACACCAGTGTTCAAAAAATGCTTGAAATTCATGGTTTGAGAGAGATACTGCAACATGTCTCCAGGGAAGGGGGTGGGAACTTGTTTGATCATTACCAAGATGTATGTTCAAAAGATCACTGATGTGAGAACTTAACAGCCAAGTCTTTTTTTGAAGCAAGGCAGACATAAGAGACCTTTTTCCTGTGATGTCACAATCGTGCTGGACCGCGATGTGTTGTGATGGTAATCTACCGGTACTTAGTCAAGATAAACTAGTCAAGCATGCAGCGTTCGTACGTGTATGCACTTGCACGTGGTTGAAGCTGCCTGTAGGAATATATGCGATCACCGTGGCCAAGGTGGTCCACACGTGGTGGTATTGTGTACATTTAGCGCAATCCAGTTACATGGGTGAAAATGGGCCATTTTAGAGCGGTATATGAAGTGGGTCAAGTTGGAGTCAACACAAAAGATTTTCCCAAACCTAATAGCGCCCTCGTATTGTGTCCGCAATACCTCAAATAGGCTGTGGTCACCAAGACGACTTTAGAAAACTGTTACTGATCTAACCAGCTGCTGTATGATGCATGACCGCAACTTACTTTCGAACTTTCTTCACATCAAGACGTCTTTAACATTTTTTCCCCAATATTAGGTCCCACTTCTTGCTGTTTGATAAATTCTCAATGAAAAGAGAAATTCAAAGCAAGACACAAATACTTTTTGGGGGGTTTTCTCTCAGCATGTACTTAGGTAAATTATAAAAGCTTGAAGTCAAATTAAGTAGTAGATGATTTTCATTTCTTTAAAATTTTAATTTTCATTAAAACAGGAATCAAATGTGGCAGACGAACATTAATTCATGACAACAAACTTATCAGTTCATGAATGTGAACATTTGGAGTCTGTTGTTAATGTTCAGACGTATATAGCACCATTTACCCACCACACTAGCTAAGTAATTAAAAGCACCACATACAAGGCACTGTGTTAATTGCTGGATTCCATTTCACAGTATTAATTACACACTTAACACAGAGCTAGTGAACACCGAAGTGTGCCAAGCTCAGAAAATAACTGCAAAGCAAAAACAGGTTGCAAGCCAAAGTGTCACTCACTGTACAGGTTTGTCACTGGTTGTCTGCCGATTTTAGCTTAGCACACCAAGGCTAACCAAGGCTACATCCGCATTACTTGGCTGCGGTTTGAAATCATGCATGAGTCTATGGTTTGGGCTACAGCCATCTCCCATAGAGTTGTGTGTAATTTCAAGCCACAATCAAGTAATTTCCTGCTCAACAGCTCTATGAAATTGAACCCAAGACATTTTTTCTAAACGTCAGCCTTTATCCCAACTCAAAAAGTAGGCTTCATCTTTTTGTAAATTTAGTCCCATGAGATCAGTCCCACCAGCTTAAGACGTGCCATAAAAAACTGCAAGTTGCCGGATCCAGTGTTTGAAAAAGCAGTTTTTGAAGCCCAAGCATCTGAAGCTCTAGCTTCAGATAGGAGTGGCAACTGGAAAAAGCCTCCAATAGGCCTTGTCTGGATTATTTGGCACTGGCTTGACACGACACCAGAGTCTACAGTAGTGGCTACAGCCCTATCACATAGACTGAAGTGTATTTTCAAGCCACAGGTGAGTAATTTGGACACAGCTACAGAGCCCCCTGGCTGTTCTCCTTGTTAGGCTTCAAAGCACCATCTAAAATTTCCTCAGACTGAAAAGTACCCTGTAGCTTACATGACGACAGTCAGGTGTACAGTGTGGTGGGGCATAT